CCGATGACCCGTCTTTCAAATGCGCCGAAACTCAGCGAAGGTGATCAGCCTGATGTGAGGGCTTCGGATAGATCGATAGCTCGGCCTTAACTAAAGCAAACCAGAGCTGGCCTTCAGCGGGTTTGTCCACTGCAAAAGCATTTCACGAAGGAATTGCTCGCCTTGAGTTGTGTTTCTACGATGCATCAGATTTGGCACATTTGTCAATTCGCTCCTCATGAAGATCCCCGAGACGCCTCTGGTTCGCAATATGGTGTCGATGATGACCCTGACACCGTATTACAGGGAAGATACGCGCCTTGATTTGCAGGTGAATTGCTGAGGTTTCCACAAGCCCTTGCCCCGTAGCTCTTTGTCGCATGGGACTCACGTCGATCTACTCATTATTAAATTCCTGCCGTTGCTTGAGCGAGCTCTAGGACAGTCCTACTACAATTATATGTACAGGATCTGGAGAAGCGGACCGATGAGGGCGTGTGCAAGATGGACCTCCTCCGCAGTTTACACCCAGTTGAGTTCGATAATTTCATCGAGAGAGTTGACCGCGACAGAGACATGTTCACCATTAGACAGGAAATAGAAGACCGGGTTACAGATTCACCTGAACGGCGTAATCTAGCCCTACAAGACATCCGCGCACAAATGCAGCAATGTGGGCTGCTCCACCGGTAAGGATCTGGTCTGTTGACTAGAGATTCGCTGCACTTGGATTCTGTTTGGCATACACACTAGCACGTCCTGCATTCTGGCATGCGGTTGGTGTTGCAGATATGATCGATTCTGTGAAATGCTTCAAGAGTGGGCATCCTACAGGGGCCAGGTGTTGATGCGCACAGTCTACGGCATCATGTACTATGAACAAGCGGTTCGGATGCAGGCACGTCTTCTCGGATGGCGCTCGCGCATTGCCGGATCTGGCAGTACCATAGATGCACTATTAATTCTCAATAAAGCATTTAGCTTTATTTGAATTACGCATCCAGATATAGAGGCAATCGCGATTCAGCCTGTACGGTTTTGCATTCCATTTTAATCTTGTGGGTGAAACTTGCAGGCTTATATAGAGGAAACTCCTCCAGAGGAGTTGCATCTATGCCGAGACTCCAATCGGCTTGACGAAAGCCAACTGGATATTATTAGGAGCCCAGAGGGGGCACTTTGGAAAGAGATTGTCGGGTTTGCTCCTCCATATGAAACGAAGCAGTCAACACGGGTACATTGAACTCTTTGGTTATCCTTAGAACTTCCTAGGCAGCAATCGTCAGTCTTCCCTCTGAACTTGGAGGAAAGTAATATCTGGCTGTTTCGTGCTGTTCAGGAGCTCGCCCAACTGAAATACCAATATGTGGTTGCTGCCCAGGAGTTTGGTACNTGTTTCGTGCTGTTCAGGAGCTCGCCCAACTGAAATACCAATATGTGGTTGCTGCCCAGGAGTTTGGTACAGACCTGGGTGCACAGCCTCCGACAGATGGGTGCGAGCCTTCTCCATTGCTGCGCGCCCAATTGCTTAGAAAGGTGTCTCTGTACAAGCTGCTAGTGCGCTACCCAACCTTGCGGATCGCGACGCTTGAACATGAACGTACTCCCGATGGCAGGCCTACAGGTCACAAACTCAGTGTCCTCTACCGGCTAACCGCCGACATTGATCCTACTGGACAACGAATTTCTTCCCCAGATGCAGCCGCTATCACAGAAATGAAGACTGCAGGAAAGTTCGTTCGGTCAGCAGACGGAGAATTGCTCCCAGCACACATTCCCAACCTTCTTATTCCTGCACCGCGATTACCTGTCTGCACGCCAGGAGCCAACATGGGAACAGGATCTACTGTTACAATTAAACCCAGATGCGGGGGCAGCAGCAGTGGAGGGGTTCGATCGGCAGAGGCCGCTTCCAGCAGCAGCAGCAAAGCGGCTACTGGTTC